GACCTCTCGGCTTTCTCTTTTACATTGTTTCTGTGTTTCTTATTTAATAAGACGGTTGGTTACATCAACACCTGGGCTTTCTGGTCCCAGTCTTAGAATATGTTAGAATCCCCGGAACTACTGATTTCATCCTTGGGTAAAAACTCCTGCCTGAGGGGTGGCCCCTTCAAGAACAAGGCCTGGTCCCTGACATCTCCAGAGCAATATGTGGGAGCACTGAATGGAAATACTGGTTCAAAATGCTATCCCACTCGGATGGTGGTGGTGCACACCTTTAATCCCAGCACTCGGGAGGCAGAGGCAGGTGGATCTCTTTGAGTTCGAGGCCAGCCTGGTCTACAGGGTGAGTTCCAGGACAAACAAGAAAACTATCCCACGGTAATGTGGGATGGCTGTGGCTGAAGGCAGGTGGGCAAGAAGCTCCTTCAGGCGACACTTGTAAACGAGCCTGAGACTAAAGGACTGTGAGGGAAGTGAGGGAAGGTGGGGCACACGGGAACTGCCACGGCTGACCTCTTAGTGATCATGTGACGGAGCGCCCCCAGGGACACACGATTCAGGAGTGGAACCGTAGGTTGTGTCCAGCAGTGTAGGAACAGACACTAGAGGATGTGTGTGGTGGGCTGTAGGACTCCAGGAGGTGACAAGGGAGATGGTCCCGTACATCCTGACGAGCATCAAGATCGAGAAAATGAAGGGACAAGGACGTTAGAAAACCTAGGGGCAAGCCACCCGTTTCCTCAAAGTACCCACCACCTTTGCAGCTCATAGTGTGCTAACTAGCTTCAAGCTAGAAGCATCTAACTGGCGCTTCTCTGGTTGCTGGAGTTTTGACTTTTGAAGGTAGAAAGCTAGAAAAACTCACTAAGAAACTGTAGCTTACTCATCTTAGAAGTTGAGGTACCAAAGTCCAGGCTGTTTTATTTCTAACCCAAATATTGCAAATATACAGAAAATTGCCAGTACAAAGTTAAACACATCCAGATTTATTTACACACTGCTAAAGAAATTTTGTGTTTTATTTCCATTTTGTGGGATTTCGTTATTGGGGTCTGGCTTTGTTGTATCATTGACACGGGTCTTTGAAACTTGAGAATCCCACCTCACACATGCAATGTTCTGTCCCAAGGGGGCAGAAATCTGGAGTTTTCTGTGTACATGCAGTGGTGATCACGATCCTGCTTTACACTTTCCCAGGAAGGCAGCTGCCCCTCACAGCCGGGGGGAGGGGCCACATGCTCAGAAAGGGAACAAAAGTCAATAGGGGAGAGGACCACAGGCACGTGGGGACCCTGAGCATTTCTGTGCATGAGGATAAAGAAAATGCAGCCCAAACCCTCGTCCTTGGAGGCTCAAAACACCAGGAAATGGCGGAACCACCAGGGGACAAGAAGTCACCCGACCACAGCTGAGGGCATGCAGAGGGTAAGAACTGCATTAAAAATTCGGGCCATACTGATAAATCATTAACATGTACACTATACAGTTTATACATGTATATATGTACACACACACACACACATATATATAAAGGTACAGGTCAGCTTGTGTTATTCCATATAAACAGATGCAGAAGAATGTACCGGTGTGAAAAAGTGCACGCAGCAAGTCCTTGAAGACGATTTCAAGTCAATGCTCCAACTCTTACTGTTATAATGCATGGAACCAGGAAATCAACCTGCATCTGTGGTTTCACTGACTCCACAGCAACCCATACCTGGCAAAGCACTGGCCGATGGAAGTCTGGTACTTGCTTGCCAGCTCTGGGCTTCCCTGTCAGTACATCATATGGCAAATCTTAAACTTTGGTTTTGTTCCAAAAGACATTTAAGTTAATATTACTTCTCCCTCTGGTAGGAAGGTGATAGAAAATTGAGAAGCTGCATCGCATCTGATTTTTGCAATCTTTGTGCCTCCCTGCTGACTGTGGAGTCGAGAGGGCTGGGCCGACAGGTGGATGAACCCTTTGCCAGCGTGCATGCTCCTTCAGAGCGCTGGAGGAAAGACAGACTCTCTGCCTATATGAGAGCAATAAAACAGGTGATGCCACGCCTGCCAGCCCTCTCATTGTGGGGCGCGGTGGAATGGCCCTGTGCGCCTGTGCATCCTGGTATCCCGATGAAGGGATGGTTCAGTATAGTGTGTCCAGCCATGGTATAGGCCTGACCAACAAAGGAGCTGAGGGCGGCCCATAATACTACACGGCCCGAGAGGAGCTAGTGTGGGCAGATGGGGGACTGGAGGTAAGCCCGAGAGCACAGGTCTGCACACCAGAATGACGACTCAGAGGCAGTGGGTTCTGAGGCTCAGTGGTCCGTCAAGACTGACAATGACCAAGCTCCTAAGCCCACCGGGCAGCTGCCATCATCACTCTCCAGAGGCCTCTGCTCCTCTGAGCAGTGTTCCATTCCAGGCACATTCAGCCCTGGCTTCCGGTCTCAGGAAAACTCCAAGGCCCTAGGGTCTCAAGCAAAAAGGATGCTTTGGATTCAAAACTCAGGCCACTATGGACTATCTGATATGTCTGAGCTACCTAACAATGCTAAATCCCACTGCTCAAGTCTCCAGAATCGATCCTCTCAGCCACCACAATGCTGAGGATAAATGGTATGTTCACCAATGATGCTCCAAAGCTGAGCAGGACAAACCAAATTAGATTTTTTTTTTTTTAAGCTATAAAGAGCTTAACAGTCTTAAACCTCTGACTGGGGTTGCATATTTGTGAGTGTGACTGATTCTGAGAGCGGCCGTAGGGAGCTCAGGCCTCCAGAGCCAGAAGCCAAAGGGTAGAGAGGAAGACCTACTTCCCGTGCTCCCAACAGTGACCATCCACCAAGGGCGAGGGGCCACTCCGGATTGCCATGGCTTTTTATTTTTATTTTTATTTCAGCCATGAAGCAGGGGAATAAAATGTTTTCTAAAGAGAAAAAGGGCCAAAATAATGCTCTGAAAGGAATGCCACTGATCTGTCCTCGAATCCAGCAAGTCACCTCTAAGGAGCTCCACTCCAAATACTCGGCACCTTCCTGTATAACCACGTCTCGGAGTTCTGAAGACCCTGGGCGACTGACTCGGTTTTGGCTCCTGAGCTCTGTGGCAAGAACAGTGGGCGACCGCCTCAGCTGGGGCTGTGCTGGGAGGGGACAGCACGTGGTGGCAGCCTCTCTCTCCCCTTTGACAAGGGGTGAGCGTGGACAGCAACTCTGATAAATTATGAGCTGGTGTATCTTTGGAATTATTGTAAATTTTAGAGTCATACAAAGTCACACATTCTGGCTCTCACAAACATCAGTTCTCCTCCCAGAAACGGTCCCTTACTTCATCTTCTAACAGAAGTTCCCTGACTCATTTAGCTGCAGTTCAGCATCTCTAGGGCTCTTCCTCCACTTCCTCCCTCTCTCCTGCTGCTGTGCGTTCTGGGGAGGAATTAGCCATCTGCTCGTACCTTCTGACAAAAGTTTGGCACATTTACTTTCTACTGACTGTCTAGCCACACAATGAAGTAGCAGCAAAATGGCATCTACTCAAGAATGTCCAAATCCTAATTACTGGGAGGAGCTGGGATGAGCGAAGCGGAGAGGGAGACCGGAGACCTTTCACACCATCGCCCTGTGTGGCGAATATTAAGCTGTATTAAAAGGGGTCGTTATTTCCACTCCCAGATGGCCTCCCCAAACGCACGGACCATATTCTATAACTTATTTAATTTGGAAAAATAGCAGATAGAAAACGTCCTTAAAACATGAAAGCGATGTAATCACGCGTGGCATCACCTAGAAGCGTGCCTTCAGTGGGGCCAGCAAATAATCAGTGAAACTATGGGACGGGTGAGAAGGACGGTCTGGTGATATAGCTTTGAATTTTAAAAAGTCCACCAATCTGAAAACATCCTTAGTCCTGGTTCTATGAACAGTAGCGATGTAGGAGGAAGCAATAAACAGCCATGGCAGTCGTTCAACACGGAGCCTTTACAGTGGGTGATGAGGAAAATGGAAGGCTGTGACGGTCAGTCCCGGGGCTGCACTGTGCACTCGACCATGAACTCCAGGAAAGGATGGCCAAGCCTGCATCCTGTCCTTGAGCAGGTCCACCGGCGTACACACAAAGCACAGCTCGAGAGAGCTCAGAGGCGGCCAGAGTTTCGTCTTTAATAGGAGTTAGATCTAGTTCTCTGTCGCTCCCTCCTCCTTGCCACAGTTAAAAAAAAAAAAATATTGCCCTGTAAGTTTTCCTGATTTAAGGTCTTGGAAGCACGCAGTTAAGTTAGTTGCCAAAGGGCAATTAACAAGGGTATTGCCTAATTAACCGGGAACAGAAAAAATCACTGTGGCCTGTGGTCACAGCAGGGGGAGGCGGGGCCAGGGGAGATGCAGCCGGGCTGATGCACAGTGTGCTTTGGGCAGGGCTGTCCCCCGTGGAGGAAAGCTGGCCCGTCACCGCACCCTCTGCTTCCTTCTCTGAGGCTGCCTCCTTCCCACAGCCAGCAGAGCCCAGGGACGGCACCAGGTATGATGTGAGAGTCGAGCTGATGGTGGCGTTGGCAGGTGCCCTGGGGTGGGCACCACACAGAACACACAAGGGTGGGGTCAGTGAAACAGTCCCTTTGAATCCCATCTCATTCCCCTTAACACGCAAACCAAGCAACAGAAACCTAAAGCCCACACTTTTACAAAAGACAAAACGTGAAAGTAAAAGTTAAAGAATTTAAAATCTCCCCCCCCACCCCCGGGGCCAACCGTGGGATCAGTTAGGGTTCCCCACCCCCACCCTGCGTTCTTTAGTGTAGGTCCTTTGGGCTTGGACGGAAGCAGCGGAAACAGAGCTGGGTCCGACGCAATGGGAAATTTATTTCCCCAAGTCAGAGCCTCTGGGAGTGTAGGAGGTACTGTGGCTCCGTCCACGCTCAGTCCCAGCTTCTCTGAAGAGCTATTCCAGGAGGTCCTGAAGAGAAAGACACGTGCTATGTTACTGACAAATCAAAAGAATCTATTTTGAAAGCAACCGACAACTTTCTCAGCTTATCAGGTCTGTAGCCATGGACGCACTGTTTCTAGCCTATGCACAACTTGATCCGAATTGTATCTTTATTAAAAACTTAAAATAGACTTATTTCCATTTTAGATGTATGAGTGTTTTGCCTGAACGTCTGTCTGTGTACCATGAACACACCTGGTGCCTTCAGAGTCCAGAAGAGGGCATTGGACCCCCTGGAACTAGAGTTATAGAGAGCTGTGAACCATCACGTGTTTACGGAGAACGGAACCTGGGTTGTCTGGAAAAGCAGCCAGTGCTCTTAACCTCTGAGCCATCTTTCCAGAGACTGTCTTGATCATCACAAGTAGAAAAATTATTTTTTAAGACTTCAATTTTTGGATAATGCTCAAGAAGGAAGTGTCTCACCTCATCTGAATCATCGTGATAACCGCTTTTCGCATGGGAGGTTGTATCCAAAGCATCCACTCCATCAGCCTCTGCATGCTGCTGGAGCACAGAGTATCGGTGGACCAGGAACCTGGGGAGGAGACCGTGGTTAGTTTCCCCGAGCTAAGTAGGGAGTGTTTTTTTTTTTTTTTTCCTTCCTTCCTTCCTTCCTTCCTTCCTTCCTTCCTTCCTTCCTTCCTTCCTTCCTT